GGCGGGGGGGGACCAGCCGAGCGCGGGGAGCGGCCGCAGCCGGCTCGGGAGCACAGCGGGACGCGCGCGTGGACGGCTGCCTCCCCACCCGGCTCCCCCAGCCCTGCACCAGTGTCAGGGGTCTCCCAGGGTCACTCACCCATGCTGGGGGTGTCCAGGCCTCCGGGCCGCTCTCCCCAGAGATTTCCCATACGCAGCTCCCCCAAGAGATCCTCAATGTGCAGTTCTTCCCCTCGCTCCAGCTTGGAGAGAAGATCCAGCTGGGGGCCCGGTGTGTCTGCTCCTAGGGGAGGGAATCGCAGTGTCCTTCACCTAGGAACTAGGCGCATCCTGGCCCTACACAGGATATTCCCCTCGGCAAAGCAAGCGGCAAAGCGCTTCAACACTGCACACACAGCTGTACGTTTATCTCGGTGCCCTATTCCTCCAACTCCTGCCCTCCAGGCTCGGGAGTCTCAGCGTCCTGGAGGTGCCCACCGGGCAAAGCCAGCCTTCGGAAAGCGCGCAGCTGTCCTCGGTCTCAGAAGCAAACCAGCAGCGACAGCTGCGAGCACAGGAGACAACACTCCGCTTCCTGACAGCCTTCCCTGCGGCCCCGGTCCCAGCAGGCCTCCTGGCAAACACCCCATCCTGCAGGCTCTGAGGGCAGCCAGGGAAAACCCTCTCACCCAGGGAGGCCACCAGCTCGTAATTCTCCCTCATCACATCCCAGTAAAGGTCCTTCTGCCATTCTGCCAGCTCTGCCCACTCCTCCGGGGGGAAGTAGATGGCCACGTCCTCAAACGTCACCGGGACCTGCAAGAGCAAAGGGTCCCTGCTCAGCGCCCCCCCGGCCGGAGAGCTGCACCCTGCGTCCTTCTGCCATTCTGCCAGCTCTGCCCACTCCTCCGGGGGGAAGTAGATGGCCACGTCCTCAAACGTCACCGGGACCTGCAAGAGCAAAGGGTCCCTGCTCAGCGCCCCCCCGGCCGGAGAGCTGCACCCGGCGGAGACCAGCCTAGAGGGGCAGCGAGCCCCGGGGACCCCTGCTCACAGCCCTATGGCACGGCCCCCTCGAGGGCTGGCTGGTTTGGGGTGGCGGGTGCCCAGACCCGTCTCTCAGCGCACCCTGGCTGTCCCAGCCGCTACGCTCCCCCGGGCCGTGCTGCGGGGCAAAACCAGCTCGGGCACACAAAAACC